TTTTCAAATTTTTTCTTTTTTTTATCTGAAAACAAATATTTATAAATATTATATTATATAAAAATTTATAGATTTTGTATAATTTACTAAATTATTAATTTATTTACCAGAGAAAAATCTATAATTATGATATATAGATCAAAATTCGATTTAATATTTTTATATATTCTAAACAAATAAATAAATAATTATAATTTATAATATATTATAATTTTACTTTATATATCACATATCAATTATTATACTTTTCCTGATAATTAATAAATCTAATAATACATTACTCATTGAAATATCGTTAATTATATACTGTATTTTATATAGGAAAAATCACAGATAAAATATAAAATAGACCTAACTTTCACTATATTTTTTATGTCGTGCTTTGAGGAAATGAAATCTCTAAAATTCACCATCGTTTTAATATCATTTTCAATATTATCGAACGGTTTAAAATAAAATAGCAGTATTGATAATAGCTGAAATTGAAATTAAATTTTAATATAAAATTAAAAATAAGAAATAGAATAAATATTTTGTAAAAGTATATGAAGTACTGCATTTTATATATAATTATATTTATATAAGCTTATATAAATTATTATGAAAAAATTTATGATTATCTAAATATATCGTAAAATTGAAAATGCAATATATTTTATTATTTTAAAAAGATTAAAACATATTATAGTTTTAAAAAAGAAAAAATGAATATGAATATTCAATTAATATCGTTTGTCATCATGCATCAAAAATAAGAAAAATAATTAGTATAAGAAGAACAAAGATAGGTTAAAAATTGAAAAATCAACGACAATTTCAAAATGTTGCAAATAAAACATATGTATATAAAGAAAACAAATAATGAGATAAAGACAACATAGAAAATGATTATTTTCATATTTCTTGAATATTTAAAACATCTTTTGAAAAACAATTAAAAAATTATATTAATTTTCAATTCTTATTTTACTTTATTCTGTCTTTGAAAAAATATCTTTGGTATTCAAAAGATAATACTAACAATTAATTCCTATCTCTCTTTTCCACATTATTTGCTCTATATGTTTATATATATTTTATCTGTGGCACTCTGGAAATGGCGCTAAATCTCTAATTTTTAATAATATCTCTGTTTTTCCATTATTTGCTTTCTTTATTTTTAATTTATTACCATCGTAGCATAATTTCATCTTTTATTTAATTATATTTTCTTGAAAAAATAAAACGAAAATTTGGTCAAAAGTTTCTATTTCAGAATTTTTAGAAAAATTTTATATACTATTATTGAATTATATTCTCCTGATACAAATTGATTAAAAATTGATAATATTAAAAAAATATAATTCAATAAAGATAAAAAATATGCGAAATTTTTTCAAAAAAAAAAGAAATTTATATATTTATGTAAAATACTGTGAAATAGTTTTGCATATTTATCTATAACACTTTTTTGGTATTTTTAATTTTTTTGGATTTTAGTTTTTTCAGTTTAATTCTAGAGTTAATTAGGTTATATACTTCTTAAAATGCTGAAATTGACCATTAACTGAAATTGATATATCTCGATATTTTCTATAAAAAAATATTGATCAAGTATAAATCATGTAAATCGAAAAATTGTTAGTGTAGAAGAATATAATTATTTCTAAAAAAAATAATAAAGAGATTATGTTATATATGATTTCTTTATATTTGCTGCAAGATTATTTTATTTTTCTGTTTAAGAAATTCATATAATATTTTATATAGTATATCTGTTTACTATTGATAGCAATTAAATTAAAGATTTATGAATTTATCAAATATATTTTTTTAAAAACTGTTAATTTTTTGTAATTGAATTGAATTTAATATCTGCATCAGACAAATTTTTATATTTCTATAACGAAATCAGATTTTTATATCTAAATTTTATATCTAAATAAGAAAGTCATTAATTTTTCTTTTTAAAAATATATATTATTATATAATAGCTAATTAATCAATGATCATTTTAAAATATTTTATATTAATTATATTATTTTTTAATAATAATTATCATTAAAAAAATTCAAAAAATTTCATTAATTTGAATCTTTCTTTCTTATTACTATTTCAACAAATAATCTTAGATAATTGATTTTACAGATTTTTATTATTTTAAGATATAAATTATCTATTTGATCTGCTATATTATTTATAATTTTTGACAGAATTCCGTTATAATCAGATTGTTATTGCATTCTTGATAATTTATGAATGACATGAAAATAGTAGTGAAGAACTCCAGAAATTTGAACACAAAAATAGAAATATTTTAGTATAAAATAATTTATTATAAAATAATTTTTTGTATTTCAGAACATGTAATGTTTTGAAATAAATATTAGAATCTATTTTATTCCATTTTCTGTATAATACATTGTGATAGTGCCTCTGTCGGGAAAAATTTTAATTATAAAATAACCTAACAAAATTTATAAACAAGTATAAACATAAAAACATTGAAATATGATTATTTTTTCAAGATATTTATGTGATAAAATATGGCGAAAATTAACCTTTATAAAAGTATTAGGTATTTCCTATTATTATATTTTTAATCTTTTATTTATTATTATATTATTATTAATATAATTGTATTAACATTTTCAGATAAAGAATTTAAAGTTTTTTCAACTTTGAGACAAAAAACTCAATTAGAAGATAATAATAATTCTAAAATGGAAAATAATAAGTTAAATGATTCTCTATCTTTTGTAAATTATAGATTTATTTATCCTGAATTTTTACCAGATCCTAATCCATTATATCGTAACAGTATAAGAGAAAAATTAGAACGTATGGACATGTTGAGTAGAAGATCAGTTTTGAGTATTCCTGAATTTTATGTTGGTTCAATATTAGCAGTAACTTATTCTGATTTACATGCAAGTGAAAAAATAAATAGATTTGTTGGTATATGTATATTAAGGAAAGGTAGTGGATTAAGATCTTCATTTCTTTTAAGAAATGTTGTTAATGGAGAAGGTGTAGAAGTATCCTACGATTTATATGATCCTGCTATTCAAAAAATTGATTGTTTGAAGTAAATATAATTATTATATTATATTATAAATTAATTAAATGTAATTAAAATGTAATTTATTATAAATTTTTTTTATTTATAGATTGGAAAAAAGATTAGATGATGAATTACTTTATCTTAGAGATGCACCACTAGAATATAGTACATTTCCTTTTGATATGGAAATGGAATCAACATTTTCAAAATCTGTTCCAATTAATAAAATTAAAATTCCTCTTAATCCATTACCTTGGTCAGAGAAATGGGAACGTAAAAATCTAAAAGGAGTTAGAGATTTGATTGTTAATGAAAAACGCAGGAAAAAAGCAGAAGCTCATTTTAAACCATGGGAGAAATATGATTTGATGAAAACTTATAGGTGAAATTTGATAAATAAGTAATTATTTATTATTTTGAAGAAAATAAATATAAATATGTATTTTTATATTTTAATAGGGAAACTATTCCAGAAGAGGAACAAATTGAAATATTTTCAGATGTATATACAGAACTTCGTCACTTAGAAGTACAGAAGAGTATATTAAAACGCAAATATATATTAAAAAGACAAAAATGAACTACATAAATCTTTTTAAAATTATGAATAATATTTTTTCCAATTAAATATTATCTGTATATTAAAAAATGATATAATGTACATATTTTTCTTACATGATTTCTAATTATTTTGTAAAAATATAGATATACATATATAATTTATAAATATACGTATTGCCCATTTTCTTATAATAATAATTCATTTGGATATGTTTTAAACTGAGAGTTTTAAAAAAAATTATTAATAATACATTTTTTGTTTTATTAGGAAGTGAAAAATATACAATAGAAATTATAAAATTTGAAATGACTACACATCATCTTCGAACATTCTTATCTGATGTATAAGGAAACAATTATTTTTTGCATATTATTCGAATTAATTGAGAAAAGATAAATATACAAACGTAAAATTAGCTAGTTAACAATGCTACATTGATTTCTTTAACCATTTTAATACGATATAACATTTTTATGAGATGTTCCTTAGCCAATGGAGATGTTGAATACCATACTGGACTATCCGGTACACAACTTCTTTCTGGCAGTAAATAGAACACATCATTCCGTGTTTTAACACTCTCTGGACTAAAATACAATTGAATTAATATAATTATTACATTTATTTGAAATTTTTTTTCATAAAATAAAAATAAATAAACGTACCATTTAGACAAGTAAAATTCGTATAATTTAACTGGACACCTTAATGGATTTTCTTCATTTTCTTGTTGTTCATATACTTTTTTTTTACGTGAATTATTTCCTATAAAAAATATAATTTTATTATTTTTTTAAATATAGAAATTATTTAATACTTACCTAATGCTGATTGTGGTGGATAAAAACGAAGAAGAACATTTCTAGATCCTGGAACTTTTCCTGTTGTAGCAGGTTGTGCAGCAGGATTACGTTTCCAATGTTTCATAATGTGAGAAAATGATAATTGCATATGTTCTTCTACTGTCTGAATAATATCAAATTTTAATCATTTTAATATATAAATGTTAATATAAATATAATAAATCAAATAATATATACATACTACAAGATTAAAATGTTTAGTGTTAAAAAACATTAAAGTACTTAAAAGGACATGAGGGGAATGAGCACCTAATTGCTTACATTCCCATAAATGTTCTTCTTCGACCCTTGTAACAATGTATTCTACAAAAAATTTTATTAATAATATAATATAATTTATAATTTTTATAATTTTAATTAATTTTAAAAACAAAAAATAACTTACGTGCATCATTATAAAGAACAGAAAATTTTTTTGCAACTTCGTTTAAACAATCTGTAAATCTTTCATAATATGAATCCGTAAAAATATTGTCTATTCTGTTATTTTCAAATAAATACTGTTGAATTCCTGTAATATAAAACAATTTTAAATAATTAAAAATTTCTTTCAATTAATAACAATAATAATATAATTGCTTATTTTACCTAAACAAAGATAATATATTGTATCTGGAGCATATTCTGCTCCATTTGGTTTTCTAACTTCTTTCACAAAAAGACATAATGAATAATTTAATTCATCAGCTGTGAGTTGCAAAAGATCTGTTTTAAATAACTTCATTTTTCTCATTGGTGTACTTTGTTTTTCTAATTCAGTATTTTTTGCTACTACCTATTTTAAAGAGAATAAATGATTTTTAATCTTTATTAATTCTTAATTAAAATTAAATATATATTTAAATTACCCATTGCCTCCAAGCATTTACTCCGAACGTATATTTGAGTGCCATATTAGCATCTGGTTTTTCTATGGGTTCTATAATTCTTGGTTGAGGTGGAGGTTGAGGTTCAGGAGGTGGCATCAAAGGCATATCATTTGTACTAGATACACGTCTTCCTCGTTTATTCGGCGTAGATCGCGGTTTATATGGAACCATTCGTTTTCTTCCTCGAGTAGCAACAATGAGTCGTTCTGATTGAACTAAATGTTAAATAAATTTTTAATTATTATTTATTTTTCTATCGTTATTTTTTTTCTTTATATTATTTATTTTCATTACCATCATTTTCTATAGATGCATCAGATTGTGTCTGTGCTTGTGTAGCAGTGATAGTGTTTGGAGTTAAAGCAGCTTCTAAATCAACAGCTGGTTCATCCAATTCTCCAGTTGCCATTTTTAAAGCCATTTGTAACATATCATCACCAAATGTGTTACTAGAATCAACAGCTTCTGGACTAAAACCTCCACTATGTGAATGATCTCGATCACCAGTATCTTCATCTCTATAAAAATAAAAAAAAAAAAAGAAAAACAAAAAAAAAAATTTAATAAAAAATTTTAATTAAAATTACCTATCATCTGTAGAATCTGAATCAGTCTCATTAGTTTTTTTTTCTGTTGCAACCATTTCTGCCATCATAAGAAGTTCAGCTTCAAAAGGATCTGCTGGTATTTTTTCTTGTATTCTTTTGATTTCTTTAAATATTCCCTTAGCACTATTTCTCGTTGTAGGTATAAAAATAGGAACAGGAATCGGTAATGGAAAAGGTAATGGAATTGGAAAAGGCATAGTATACATATGCATTGGAAATGGAACATAAATTGGAACCGGTATCGGTACAACTGCCTGTTGAATTCCATCCGTTTGTGTAGCTTTTGTACAAGGATGTGGACGTACTGAAACTCCTTTTGTGTGCATTACAGGTTTACACTGAGTTGTTTTATTATGAATTTGAACTGGACTTGGTGGTCTTGTTATAATATGCTGTTTATAAATTACTTGTGGTGTCTGATTTTGACTAATAGCAACTGAAGGTACTAACATATTATTTACATTATTTTGTTGTGAAGTTGGACTGGATTGACCGTTTCCAATTGTAGCTAAACTTGTAACTGAAGAAATTACTGGCATATTCTTTTTGTTTTGTATATCATTAACTTTTTGATTATTAGAATTTGTGCTTCTTTGAGGTAATGTTCTTTTAGGCATACCGGTAGGTACAGGATCGTCACCTGTCGGTATTGTAATTGGAGATTTAGTATATTGAGCTTGAAAATTCATTACACAATGATATGAACAGAAATTTCGTATCGTCGCATCTGACATTGTTAAATGATATTGTGCTTGGGAAAATTCTTTGCAAAAATCACAATTGATTCGTTTTGCAGAAACTGCATTAATAGAAACCTATATAAAATTAAAAATAAATATAATTAATTTTATACATTATATAATATAAAAAATATATATTTATTTTATACCTGATATAATGTTAAACAATTTAAACTGCACATCATCATTACTTGTCCTGTTTTTAATTCTTTTTTGATCATATCAAAATTATATTTTTTTACTTTGCACCAATTACATGGAACAATTTTCCTATTAGTAATAATAAATATATTTAAACAAGTTTTAGAACAAAACATATGAGCCTCATTCTCATAAAAAACAACAGAACTTTTTTTATTAGGTAATTCAAAAAATTTTTTGCAAGTGGAACATTGATCAGGGTCAACCTTTTTTACAAATTTGAATGCTGCAAAACATGGTTCACTACATATAGCTACTGGATCAGATCTATCTATTTGAACTTCACAATGAACAATTTTTTCCTGTTATAAAAAATATAACTGTTTTTTAGAAGGTTTCTTCTATTGGACATGTATTAAAAATATAAATATAAAAAAAAGAAATGATTTCTTACTTCTTGACAAACACTGCAACATTTTTTTTCCATATTTGGAGGTTCAATAGAACTCATTTTTGAATATTTTTCCATGCAATCTTGCGTACAAAAATCTTTAAATTGGCCTTTATCACCAACTGGTGCAAGAAAACCTTCTGTACTAGAACTTATATCTTTTTGACAATAACT